GGAGGGTCTCCTTTTGCTATTGTCATCACCCAGCAACACCAGATTCACCGCTCCTGTACAGTCAACATCATGTTTGGAACCCCACAAGGTATGGAGGTCCAAGTGGGTCAGAATTCCAGAGGTAGTCACTAGTCCATTAATTCTTTTATGACTTACTCAGATGCAGCAGGTTTTAGGTAAATGTATTTCAACTCAAATGTGGTAGGGCTCTTTTATAAGCGTCCTGGTGGAAACTTGGATAGTCATTTGTCTGTCTGATATTCTTTCATTGGATACAGTTCTGGGCCTGCCATATATGACGATATATTTAGCCCTTAGGTGTATACAGTGGTGTGCTGGCAAATGTTTAACAGCCAGTTCTGGAGGTGGGGGATGGTGTGGTTTATAGCATTTGCTGATTTTCATTCTGTAAATACTCCCACCATGTTCTATTTCAAGCCACCAACATGAAGTCACTTCAAGGTAAGTTGGGAAGAGATGTGCACAGTCTGCTCTCACCAGTGAGAGCCAGCTCCAGCAGAGCTCTGGCACATACTGGCACTGAGTGCAATTGAGTCCTTGCTTTCATTGAACTTTCTAATAAGGAACAAGGAATACAACAGGCAATTAGGATACTATGTGTAAGTGTGCTAGAGAAGTGGGTAGAGGGTCTGTGAGAATAGGGAGGATGCCCTGACCTCCCAGAGACCCGGAGTAGGTTCCTTGAAGTCCTTCCCTAAAGTAGCTTTTAGTCCTTTGCTCCCAGATTGTTGAGACTCAGCCAACTAATGTCCTACTCATTTATCTTACAGCATAGACTTTTCCCTTTTCCTACCACCTTCAGGCTCTGTTTGCCTGACCAGTTATACCCATAACCACAGAGTGTATAAGGTTCTCAAACGATCAGGTCATTTGTCTCTCTGAGGAACTGTCCTCAAGATGTGTGAAGACATTTATATCAAGTGCTGAGAAATCTTCTCACCACCCTGTAAATCATGTTGCCCAAGGGTGAGGAGAGGAGGTTATTTAGGGTCACAATTTGATCTTAATCCATGACCTTTGAACTGATGAATTCAAAATCAGCTCTCTCCCAAGGAGCACAGTGGAGAGCCAAGCTTTAGAAAAGGGCTTTTTGGACCCCTGTGGCTGCCTCCTGTGGTTATTCTCCACATGGTCTTTTTAAATCTGTGAGAGACTTTCATGTTACTTTGGTTTTTAGCACATGGCTGTGATCTAGGAATACCCCCAAAGAACTAGCTCTGTACAAAGATGTCTGAACTCTGCCAAAGAAATCCATTCACCTATCTTCCCAGTCTTTATCTCCCTCCCCTTCCAGCTGCTCTGCATCTCCCACTCCAAGGCTTTTTGTCACTGAAATGTTTTTCTTGATGGTTTGAAGTTAGGAGAGGCCTGGTAGAGTGGACACTCAAATCTGTCATGGGAGTAAATAACTCTTGTCATCCCCTCCCACAGAGCATCGCAACATGCCCCAGGCAGACGCCATGGTGCTGGTGGCCAGAAATTATGAGCGCTACAAGAATGAGTGCCGGGAGAAGGAACGTGAGGAGATTGCCAGACAGGCAGCCAAGATGGCTGATGAAGCCATCCTCCAGGAAAGAGAGCGAGGAGGCCCTGAGGAAGGAGTACGCGGGGGGCACCCCCCAGCCATCCAAAGCCTCATCAACTTGCTGGCAGACAATAGGTATCTCACTGCCGAAGAGACTGACAAGATCATCAACTACCTGCGAGAGCGGAAGGAGCGGCTTATGAGGAGCAGCACCGACTCTCTGCCTGGTGAGCTACGTGGCAGGGCCGAGGTGAAGTTCTGACTCTGCATTTCTCTAATCCCCAGGCTCTGTTGGGAGGGTTGCAGGCCCAGGGCTCTGTGGGGTGGGTAAGGGAAACGAGCCCATCCCTTGGATTCTCCCTTGGGCCATCCATGCTGATGTAATGATACCTTAAGATTCGGGTACTGGATTACAATCCCTGTAGTTAATGTGGTGGGTGGGCTGGTATTGCTGGCTCCCTAGTAACCAAGATGGATGCCCTTTTTTCTTTAGGGGTTCTCTAGGGGAACTAGACTGTTTCCTGGAAACAGTGCTTACCATGAAGTGGCCCCTTTGGGAAATTGATGTTATAGTCTGTGTGCTATGTGATTGATGTGATCAGTGATTGTTGTTCTTCCCTGGGCTGCTAAGCCTCCTGCCCATGGAGGGTACACTTCAAGCAGGTACTTCCTCATTCTATCTTCTAGGCCCGATTTCCCGTCAACCACTCGGGGCGACTTCGGGTGCCTCGCTGAAGACACAGCCAAGCTCCCAACCGCTCCAGAGCGGCCAAGTGCTCCCCTCTGCTACACCCACTCCAGCTGCACCCCCCACCTCCCAACAAGAGCTTCAGGCCAAAATCCTCAGCCTCTTCAATAGTGGCACGGTTGCGGCCAATAGCAGCTCTGTATCCCCCTCGATTGCTGCCGGAAACACCCAGAACCAGAATTTTTCCACAGCAGCGAACAGCCAGCCTCAGCAAAGATCACAGGCCTCTGGCAATCAGCCTCCAAACATTTTGGGACAGGCAGGATCTGCTCGGAACATGGGCCCCCGGCCTGGGGCTCCTTCCCAAGGGCTCTTTGGCCAGCCTTCCACTCGCCTGGCACCTGCCAGCAACTTGGTTAGCCAGAGGCCGGTGTCTTCCACAGGTATCAACTTTGACAATCCAAGTGTACAGAAGGCTCTGGACACACTGATCCAGAGTGGCCCTGCTCTCTCCCACCTGGTTAGCCAGACCGCAGCACAGGTCGGGCGGCCCCAGGCCCCCATGGGATCGTACCAGAGGCATTACTGAGGCTGAATCTCAACTACTCCCGGTTCCCTTCGTCCCCTGGCCTCCCGCCTATTGCGTTCTAACTAGAGTTGTTTGGAGGATGTTCTTTGCGCCTGTCCAGGTCCACATCGAATGTCATAAGTTTCTACCACCTGCTCTCTTCTGCCCAAGGCTGTGTTACTTATTCCTTCTAGAGTCAGAGTTTTGTACTGCATTTGGGGGTGTCCTTTTTTTTGTTGTTTTGTTTTTGTTTTGTTTGTTTTGGTAGAAAATATCTCTGGGGTCACGGGGAGTATAGGTGTCTGGGCTCCATCTCTATATCTCATGGATCTGTCTGGTCTCTCTGTCAGCTGGATATGGGGGCAGGGGAGGAGAAGGAGCCAAGCCCCAACTGGCTGAGTTTGGGATGGCATTTTCAAGTCAGGAGCCACTGTCCTTGTTTATTGTGAACCTACCAAGATTTCCCAGCCTCACACAGGCCCGCCAGAGCTCGAGCTCCTGCCCAGGGTTGCAGAGTAGCAGTCTGGACTTGGCAGGCACGGTGCCATCATGCCCTATCCCACATATGTGGGTCTGCTTGAGAGCTCATAAACCAGCTCCTCTGGAGTTGTTGAGGAGTGGCCATGGCAGCCACAGATCAGACACATTTCTGCCTAACCCAGTGTTACTGGTTTTGGGTTTTCTCTTTTTCTTTTTTGCTTTCATTTTGTTGGAGGATCTCCCATGGACTGAACAACTCCAGTGACCAGCAGTTTAACACAAACTGTGAATCTGGGCCCCAACCACTCTTACCCCCTAACTTTTCTGTCAGCCTCTCCCTACCAGTGGTGGTTTCATGGAATCGTTTCTGAGAAGGCAACTCTCGACTCTGGCAGTGAACACCCATTTTTTTCAGTGATCGTTTTGAGCTTTTGGCTCAAAAATGAGGCTCTTGTTGTTTTCTGAGCAGCAGGAGGTAGGGACCATTTTGATATCAGACTTTTGGTAGTTGGACATGTTCTGGATATAGGCGGCTGTTCGTAACTTTTGAGCCAGAGTGATGTTACTAGAGGGAGGGCTTCTGGCTGCTGCTCTAAATGGAGCCAAAGAAGCTGCCCTCTCCCTACGGATGGTGCTCATTAGAGCCTTGTGGATCGGTCTCAAGGGGCCCCTGGCAGAGGGAGTGCAGTGACTTCAGCTGAGTCCCTGCCAGTAACTGAGTAAACAGTGGTTTCAGAAACTCAAGGTCCCCAGATGGCAGTGTTTTATGTTCTGACCTGTTTGTGTTATATAGTGTTTTTTCCTCTTTGGAACTCTTGTGTTGTTAATAAGATGAGATGATTACTTTTTAATTAAAATGAAAAAGTGAAAGCTGTGTTGTCTTTTTTGGGTGTGAATATCTGCAGGGCCTCTTTGTGGGCCTTCCTTCTAAGAGTCAGAAGGTGAGGTTCTCTGACAGAGCCACTGACTGGTTTCAGTCTGCTGTGAGGTCTGCCCCATCTTGCACTCAACCTGCAGTCAGGCCTCAAAACCTCTTTTAACCTCAGCTTCTTTTCTTATGCAGCTCACCTAGTTAGAAGTTTTCATAACCAGTTCAGAGCAAAAGCCTGCTGGTTAATTGTAATGCTGTGTAAACGTCCATATTTGTGACAGACTTTGTGTCAGAGGCTTGTCCTCCTTTTGTAGGAAAGGAAAACAGGACTGTGAGGAGGCCATTTCTGGCCGAAGGCCAGTGGAGAGTGGGGCACTCTCCTGTTTTGATTTTGTCTCAGTTACCACCTTCTGTTACACTGCTCATTGTGGAGAGTTGGCAGAACCATAAAGTCACAGGTAACAGCCTTGGAGAGCAGTTAATAGAGAGCCCTATCAGGAAACTTGGGGTGGGGGTGGGGAAGTAACTGACACAAGGCCTCCAGTGAATTAGGGACCATGATGCTGACAGCGCTGAGCCTGACCTAGTAAGTGCTCATGACCTCATAGATGTCAGTGCAATGCCCCTGCTGCCAGTTTCTTTGTCCCTCTAGGACAGGGCCCCAGAATTAGCACACAAACTCGGCAACCAGACCTGGAGGATCAGCCCACCCAAGTCTCCTGTAGGGGGAGGTCAGTGTTTCTGATTAAAAGCCTGGAGTCCTCTGGGAGGACCACCTTAAATACCCTTCTTGCCACCTACTAATTCTTCCCCCTAGAGTGTTCAAACAGCACACCTCAGGCTGTGCAGGGTATAATAAAATTATTTTTATTGCATTTTGTGCAGATGGGAATCTAAAAAATTAATACAGTAAAAGCTAAAAAGCATTAAATGGGAGCATTCAACAATAAAGGAAAGAACCAACCCTCTCCTTTTCATATTGGCACAAAGAACACAAGATCAATACTGAGGCAGAATGCAGAATACTGAAACACTGAAAATTAAAGGCAGGCCTAATAATAGTAATAAATACTCTTGATTTGGTTTTCAACCTCTTCTATTTACAAGGGTTTTCAACTTCATTGCATTGCCCTGCACATAGATCGTCTAAAACAAAAGCAACACTAGTTATCACTACAAGGCTATTGAAATATTGCACTCAGAATAAAAGTCACTTGAATGGACATGAAACATCTAGCTACATGATTGTAAAGATAATTTGATGAATGACGTGTGATAACATAACAAATATTGCACATATAGCACAGAAAACTTGGGTTTTTGTTGTGAGATGTCTGTTTTCATCAACGGAAACTTTGCTCTTGCCAACCAGACAGTCTGGGCCCAGGTAGTGCAACTTTGGTTCCCTAATTGATGTTAATACAGCCCCTTTTCCCTCTGCCTATCCACCACTTTAGCCCAGGGAATGCTCAGGCGCCCAGAAGGCTAGACCCAGCTGTGGTTCTCAGAGGGAGGTCTTTTGAAGGATGGGGGTTGGGGGGGGGTGCTGGTGTCTAATACCTCCAACTTCTGATTACTACCTGGAAGAATCTATCCAGCCCCCTGCTGAAATTTCAGAGGAGCCTTGGCCTAACCGGCAGCTGTTCAGACCTAATTCCAGCCACACCTGACCCAGTCTAGATGGCACCAGCTCCAGCTCTCTGCCTTGGGCTGGAAGGAAAGGAGGTGGTGAGGTCAGGAGTACCCAGTAGCTCCAGCTCTGGGAGGTGGGCGAGATGTCTAACTAGGTGCGAAGATCAGGGCCCTGGAGCTGGAAGTACTGTACCCAGTCCCAGAGGACCCTGGAACGAGCATGCAGTGCCTATCCCCCTTAGTAATGTGCCCTTGGGGAAGGGAACCCGGCCAAAGCACTTTCTCTAGGGATAGAGGGCGCCTCCAATCGGGCTGGTGGAGCAAAAGTGCTAAGGACTGGAGTTGGAGAAGCCAAAGGCCTTGGGTCCTAGTTGGAGGAGGGCAGAGAGGCGCTAAGAACAAAGCACGTGGCGACTCCAGCCCTCCCCCAGGCCCAGGTACCTGGGAGGCGCAGCTAGAGGCCGCTGCTAGGCAGCGAGGCCCGGCCCCGGGACGCGGAGCAGGCAGCTGGGTCCCCGAAGTCGGAGCTGCCGGGTTGGGACAGGCGACATTGGAACATCAGGGGCCTCCCCGGTGGGTCTAGCCCCTAAACCAGAACCTCTGCCGCCTCCTTCACCTGTCCCAGGGAGGAAACTCCGGGCGACGGGACGCCCTACAGCTCCCCGATTTCAGTCTTTGGCGAAGAGCCATGGGATAGGGGGAGCAGGCGACTATCCGACTGAGGAGAGACGCCTGCTCCCCCAGCGAAGGCACCGGGGCGGGGCTTCCTCGGTGGGGCAAGGGCTTCTCTCGGTTTCTTCTCCTTGAGGAGCGCCCCTCCCCTATCCTGGCCCCAGCTTGCATAAGAGCCAATAAGAAGAGGCTGCGCGCGCGTCTCTGCAGCCGCAGTGGAAGCTCACATCCGCTGGGCGGCGAATCCAGGAAAAGTTGGACATTTGTCTCACCTCGTCTCCGAAAAGAACTAAGAGGAAGGGTCGGAAGCCAAGGGCGCGCAGAAAAGGGCGAGGAGGCGTCGAGGGGGTGTCGAGGGACCACGACTCCCGCCTGGGCCTAACGCACTTTTGCTCTCAAATTCTCGGATGTCAGGGAAATCCCAGCCTCCCGAGGCCTCTGCCGTCCTTGGGCGCCCCCAGCGGGAGAGCTCGACAGTGGCGAGAAGTCTGTTGCGCTTCTAGTCACAGAAATATGGGGACGTTAAAAATACACGCGATGTCTCCTTTACACTATGTATAGGCTCGGCCGGCCTGCGCCTGCGGCTGCACTAGGAGTGACGGACACCGCTGAGTGCGGCCTCCCACCCCGCGCCCTCCGGGCCACCGGGGGAGGAGCGCAGAGCGAGGACCCGGGCGGGGCGTGGGAAGAGGGGAAAAGAGTCGTGCGGACTACCCGGGGTCCTCAAAGCCCCAGCTCCGCTCCTCTCCGCGCCTCCTCCGGACCTTTATTGCAGCTTCTCCGACGGGGCGAGGCCGGGCTTAGAAAAAGGGCAGCCGGGGCCGACAGGGCGACACGCCAACGGGGAGCTCGGGGCTCTTATCTCCGCATGGGGGCGGTCCTCTCCGAGTCAGCCCCGACGGACGTGACCTCTGGGCTTCAGGCAGCGGGAAAGGGGGCCAGGGCGTGGGCACAGGGTCTGTATGTAAACGGTGACAGCGGCAGGGGGCGCGGCAAGGGCTCCAGGGCCGCGGGCCGGGCGCGCTCGGGCCCGAGTGGCAGGTCCTGGCTCTCAGGAGTAGATGGTGATGACTTCGCGGCCGCCGCCGCGGACCAGCATCACTCGGTCCAGGTGCTCGGTGAGGACCTCGAGGAACTCCATATCTGAGGGCCCGTCAAGGAGAAAGACCGTCCCCGTACCTCGCGATGGAATTAGGGTCGCGTTCGGCGCCAGGGGAACGCTGGGAATGCGTCCCTGTCCGAGGTGCTGATTCTGAAGCAGGACAGGCTCAGCTCTTCCTTCCCAGGGTTAGGACCCAGGTCCCCTGACGTCCACCACCCCCTTCCTCCCAATATTAAGCCCAGGATACAATTTTCGTCACCGTTGCGGTTGCGAGGAGGCCCAGGCATGTTGAGCAAAACAAGTTTGGCGTCCCGGGATTTCTTGACGATGACCTCGTTCAGCCGCACAGCCGTGTGCATGCGCCTCACGTTGGACTGGTTCCTGAGGGAGGAAGAAAGGCAGGAGGGTGCGTGAGCCTGGGAGAGGGGAGAGTTGGATTCAGGAGCCCTCCCAGCCCCCGGAGCACCTGGCTGCTGGGACCTGGTCCTTGCAAGCCAGGGACTACCAATCCCAGACCTCTCCAAGCTGGGCTATTCAGAGACCCCAGAGGTCAGGAGCACAAATCGAGTGTTCATGATAGAGTGAGGAGAGAGGGTACCCTGACCAACCCAGAATTTTAAAATTCTGAAGCACTTACAAGTTCTCCCACTCCCTTCAGGAAACACAAGAGAAGCAAAGAGAGGAAGAAAAAGAGAGGGGGTCAGAAAAAGCAGGAGCGGCTGATCATCGTCCACCCTGAGTGCAGACTGGTCCTGCTCTCCCAGCCCCTCAGCCTTTGCCTTTCCACTGCCTGAACCTGGGAATTCTGACCATTCGCAATCAGGCCCAACCAGAGTTCTCAGCTGGGGAAACAAAGACAAGGTCTGGGCTGGGTCTTCCAATTGCCAGACCAGGACCCCTTCTGCTCATTCGCTGTGCCATGGGAGCAAAGACCCTGGAGGCTCACCCCAGACCCCATCCCTTAGCCCCCAGGCCCGTACGGCTTCATGCTGAAGAAGTCCTTGATGCCCTCAGAAGAGACAGGGCTGGGGCCCTTATTCTTCTCTGCCACCGACTTGTCCTTGGTCCAGGTGAGATGCACTTTCTCTGGATCTGCCTCGCCCTCCCCCTCAGGCTCCTCTCCTGGAGATGGCGAGCTGCTAGGGCAGCTGGGAGCACTCTGGTCATGGATCAGCTGCACCTGAGGGATGAAAGAAGGGACAGCATGTGATTCCTTTGGAGCCCAAACGTCCTGCTCCCACTGGCTGGGGCCAAACCACTCCAGCTGCATACCTCCTCTTCTGGCTTCTCCTCACTGTCACCAGCTGTTTCTTCTGGAACGTTGAGGCGGAGCCGAGTGTTGGCTGGATTCTTTCTCCGGATTGAACCACGAGACTCATCTGTGATACTCTGGATCTAGGGAGTGACACAGGGTGGTGCCAGTTCTGCTGGAAGTCACTACCCATGCCCCAAAAAGAGCTACCCCCAGAGCTGATGTTCAGTCAGGATGTGCACTTTTGAGACATGTACCGGTTGTTAAAATACTGCATTGTTTCCACACCAAGTGGCTATTGCTCCATGGACATGGCCACTCAAACTTCTCTCCAGAACTCCTAACCTCCCCACTATTCAGCCACCAAAGTATTAACACCTGGCACAGCCAAGCTCTACCTTATCACTAAGTCCCAGTGTCAGTTCTGAGTGGCCAGTGTACATGCCATTTCTTACAATCTTACTGTCACCCACCTCCAAGGGCTTTTCTGTCCCCAGACCCAGGGTACCATCACTCATTTCCTCAAGGACCACACTCCCTGGTGTGGAGCTTTCATCCAAACTCCACTCCCCATGGGAGCTCACCATCATTACCCCTGAGAACTCACCATCCACACCCTAGGAGGTTTGCCCTCAACTCCTACCATCAGCTATATCCTGAAATATCCATCTGTTACCCAGTCTCTGAGGGTCTATCACATGATCCCTTGTCCCCCACACTGGCAGCCCACGCCCCTGAGGAATCATCATCCATACATATTTAGCCGGCACTATTCTCCCTTGGGCCCCAGAAGTCTCACAGAGAGCAGATCTGTCACCCACGCGAAAGCCCCTCTGCATCCTGGCTAGGTGGCTTGATAGATGCAGGTGCAGTGTATACCCCCACTGCTGGGAGCCCAGTTCCAGGAGGTGGCAGTGCCAATGGTCAGGAGCAGGCCATCCCAAACCTGAGCAGGCCCAGAGCTGCCAGCAGTTTGAGACTTTCAGAGCCCAGCCAGGGCAACCTCACCTCCCGCTCCCGCTCGTTCTTGGTTAAATGCATCTGTTTTAGGATCTGGGAACGCTGCTCCATCACCAACGTCTTCTCGTAGGTATAAGCTGAGATGTCACTCTCATGCTGTGGGCAGGCAGGGGTGGAGACGGGGTGAGGAGGGCAAGGAAGGAAAGTATGAGCTCTGAGCTCAGGTGCAAGGCCAAGGGAAGGGAGGCAGGCCCCCTTCTTTCTGTCAGCCTAGGGCTTCCCTATCCAATGACCTAGTTTTATCAACAATTGTGGGAGGCAAGGACAAAGCAGACGGTGATGCTCTTTGAAGGCAATGCAGCTCATTCCCTCCTCAGCCAAGCACAAGACCCAGCAAATGAATGGATGAATTAGTGAATGAATGGATAAATTAATTACCTGGGTGAGTAGAGAAGGGGAAGAAATTTTTAAAGGAACACAGAGATGAATGAATACATACATGGATGAATGGATGAATGAGTGAGTACACTAATGAATATATGGGTAGATTAATGAATGCACAGAGGGATGGGTAAATGGATACATAAGCTGAGGGGAATGGATGGATGAGACTGTGGAATATAATTTCTCAGATCATGGACTCTAGAGCCAGTCTGCCTGGGTTTGAATACTGGCTCTGTCACAGTGTGCACTGGGGACAAATTACTTAAGCTTTCTGTGCCCCAGTTTCCTAATCTGTAAAATGGAAATGCTGATAATTGTGTATGTTTCATTGATTGCTGTGAGAATTTATATATATATATATATATATGTGTGTGTGTGTGTGTATATATATATATATATAGTGCATAGAACAGTGCCTCACATGTAATAATAAGCAGTGTTAGACATGGAGACATGGCTATTCCTATAGAGAGAGATTGATGGATGAATGGATAGACTCTCAGGTGAATATGTGAAAGGCTAAAAAGTGGATGAGGGGGAAAGGATGAAGCATTATAAGCTGATGGGTGTTGGGGTTGCCTTATTTGGTGCTGGGGCCCAGGGGAAAGACAGCCAGGTGGAACTCCAAAACTTCAGAGGTGGCTCCTGGAGACTCACCATCTCCACCACCTCGACCTCCGCGGTGATACGTAAATGGTACAGAAATGTGGTCAGGTCCTTCTTCATCTGGATGCTATTGTCGTCCATCTGGGCCACTGTGAAGATTCGCATCTTGCACTTTCGCCAAACCTGGAAGGGTGAGGGGGACCCAGAAAGATCCAGCCCAGATGCGGTGCAGAGACCCAGTGCCAGAGCCTAGAGAGGACCCTGTGCCTCACCCTTCCCACTCACCTTCCCCCACCACATGCAGCCCCGCAATCCTCTATCTCAATGGCCACACCCTAAAAAACTCCCCTGCTTAGGTGAGGGTCCCGCCATTAAAGCATCGCTCTCTTGAGTTAAATATTGTTCTCCTTTATATTTCAAGGATATCTGTGAGGGGAGACACAGTTCCCAACATCTCAGAGTGAAGGAGGTGATCGGAGCACTTTCCCGGGAGCTCACGGGGGAGGCTGGCCCCGGTGGAGCCCCGCCCATGGACGTGGGCTGGTGCACACAAACACACGCATGCGCGCGCACGCGCACCTTGTGGTGCCGCAGCAGGAAGGGCAGCAGCATGAGCATGCCCCCGTCGTGCACAATCCACCAGACGTCGATGCTGCCCTCGGAAAAGCGCTCGGGGTTCCCGGGAAACATGGAGACGTTCTTGGTAACCAGCAGGGCCAGGTGACCGGCCGTGGTTTCTCGGACCAGCTCTGGAGGAGACCAAGGAGACGGCCAGACGGTAAAACAGTGACCCTGGTCCCCTCCTGGCACCCAGCACCCCCACCTCACCCCATCCTGCCTTGGCCTTGGGCTAAGGAGTCAGAAAACCCCCATCTACCCAGGCCTCATGACTTATTTGTTGTTTGAACTTGGGAAAACCTCTCTGAGCCTGTTTCCCCACCTGTCAAGTGATAATAACAACACCTGCCCTTTCTGATTAAGAACTCTACCATGCAGGGCTCACTTAATCCTCCCAACCGTCTTCTAACTCAGATCTACCTATAAAGCAGCCTCTGGGTTTACCAGCTGTGTGACCTTAATCTCTCAGGGCCTCAGTTTCACACCAATAAAATGGAGACAGCAATGCCTAGCTGTCACCGGCCTGCTGAGAGAATTAAAGGCTAGAGAAAGCCTCCACTTGTCTGGCACACAGGACACAGTCTATAAATATTAGTTATTATATTACTTATTACCAACTACTACCAAGGAATATTATGCTCAGAGAGGGTGGAGCATTGATGAACAATCATACAGCGAGGAAGGGCCAGAGGTGAGATTCAGCCTGGGCCTCTGCGACTTCAAAGCTGTAGCTCTTCCCACTGCCCTGCACTGTCTTCCTCCCAGGGTTGTGAACCCTGCAGGAACCAAGACTGTCTCCTTCACACCTGAGTCCCCAGCACCCAGCACAGTGCCTGGCACATGGCCGGCTTTGAACACCATCACCTGCATTTGCAAAATCCACACTGTGCCAACTGGGAAATGGTCCTGAGTCCCGAAGAACCCAGCCCACCACAGCCCCCAGCCCACCACCACCCTAGCCCACTCAGCTTTACCAATGAAGTTCCTCCACGTCTGATGATCTTCCTTCTGCCGCCAGTTGCGGGGCCAGCCAACGAGCACGGTATTGTGCTGCAGCCCCCCAAGGCCCCCAGACTGAATCAGATGGGACACGCCATCTCGCAGGTTGGAGGAAATCACTACCTGGCAGAAGCCTTTCACTTTCTCTGCCTCCATCAGGCGCCGGATAGACTGCATGGGGTGGGGGTGAGGGGTCAGAAAAGGACCAGCCTCGGTCCTCCCTGGCCCTGCCCAGACCCTTGCAGTCTCCCTACCTCCCATCTCTCCCCTCCATCATTTTGATGTTTCTGAAGTTCGGCTCTGATCATCTCAGCCTCTGGCACGAATCATGCATGGCTCCCTGTCACCTATGGCCCCCATTCCTCCCTGATCAATCAGAGCTCTTCATAATTGGACCCCCATTTCCCACTACCCCACCGCTGCTCACACAGTCCCGCTGCAAACTCTCCACCACACCCAGACTCCCCCCTCCACAGTACATGACACCCTACCTGGCCCAACTCAACCATCACCTTCTTCAGCTACCACCCCCCACCACCCAGACCAGAATGAAACTGGGCTCTTCTGCATAGCCAGACAACATATATCTAACAAATTTGTAAGTTAGTATAATGGTAAGCATTTTACATGCCCATTCCATCTGCACAATGAGGGAAGTGTTCTCATTGCTCTCATGTTATAGATAAAGAAATTGAGGCTCAGAGAAATTAAGACTTGCTTAAAGGCGTACAGCTAATGTATGTTAATATAGAGGTTCAAGTCCGGGGGTCTGACTCCATCCTTCACACTCTTAACCAATATCCTGATGTCAAACAATTCTTCAGGTTTTACCTCTGCCACCCTAGCATGCAGTAGCTGCGAATGTGCTGTGTGTGCACCAGGCACTGGGCTAGGCCCTGGGAGAGATGAAGAGGTAGAAGACTAAATCCCAGCCCTTGAGGTGGTCACAGGCTGTTTGGGAAGATACAACATACACTGAGGTTGATAGGTGCTGTGTTAGAGTTAATAACTTCAGGGTAACCTTGGGCAAATCACCTTCATGAGCCTCAGTGTTCTCATCTGTCAAATGGGCATCGTGACAGCTACCTCATTTAGGAAGAGGGAGAATTACATAACATGATATGAGTAGGCCTTAGTGTACAGCCTGACAGATTGTAAACACTCAACACATTGTATTACTCTCATGCTATTCCCCATCAGCCTGTGACCACCTCGAGGGCTGGGATTTGGTCTTCTACCTCTCCATGTTCCCCGGGGCCTCACCCAGTGCCTGGTGCACAGCGCGTTCACAGCCACTGCATGTTGAATTAAACTGACCAGTGGAGGCCTCCAGCCCTGGGCCCTGACAGATTGGTGTGAACGGCCCAGTGAGGCAGAAACAGCAACTGTCACAAGCCATTAGGGGTGCCCCTCCCTGCCTCCCCTCACCTCCCTGGGGCTCCCTTTCCTCTCTCCACTACTAGCCATAGCCCCAAGGGGAGAGAGGCCCAAATGGCAGACAGGAAACACTTCCTCCTCCCACCAGGTTCCAGGCACCTGTTAATGCCACTAAATGCAGACCCCAGCCACCCTAGCCCACACTGGCTCTGTGCACTGCTCCGTGGGCATGGGCCAGTGGATGGTAACAAGAGCAGGTGACCTAGAGTCAGAGACCCAGGTTCAAATCCTGCCTATGCTTCCAGCTGGCTTTGTGACTTTTCAGCAATCTGCTTTCCCTCTCTGGGACTCAGTTTCTTCCTGTGCCAAATATGGATACTCACCCTGCCAATTTCATGTGATATGGTGTCAGGAAAATCCACAGATGTGAAAACACTCTGAAAGATTTATACTTCAGCAGGAAGAAGTCTGGAGTAGGAATCTAGCAGTTTGGTTTTTTTTTTAACAATTTTATTTATTTATTTAATTTCTTTTTTAATGGAGGTACTGGGTTTTGAACCCAGGACCTCATGCATGCATTCTACCACTGAGTTATACCCTCCCCTGCCTCTAGTCTAGCAGTTCTGTGTGTCTGTTTTCTGTCCTTAAACAAATGGCCTGACTTCTCTAAGCCTCAGTTTCCTTACCCATAAAATGTGCCCTTCTGGCTCGGATGGTCTTGAGTTCTGTGAGTTGGATTCTAAGGAACACACTCACTGAGCCTTTGGAATCCTCTTCCAAGAAAGAGGACAGAAAAGCCTGAGCCCCAGTTGATTGCAAAGGTGGTAAGGAAGGAACGTGGAAAGGAGCAAGGACTGTCTTCCTGAGTGCCCTGCCCTTCCCCTGTCCCCACCAGGGCCTCTACTCACCTCCTCCGCCCGCTGGGCCTGGGGATGGTTGTCCAGAAAGGTGCCCTCAAGGACAGAGCCCACGATGGTCAGACCCTTCCCTGCCTTGAGCTGGGAGGTCAATGAGAGCAGCTGTGGGTGTACCACGTTCTGGTCTTGGTCCACACGCACCAGCACCAGCAGCTGTGGCCTGAAGAGAGTGCAAGGTCACATGATCCAGCCACCACCCACCATACACACATACACCATACACTGGTGAGTTCATTAACCACTTGTTCTCCATTCTTCCATCCACCTATACCCCCAACATCCATCCGCCCACCTAAACATTCATCCATCCACTTCTTTGAATAGCAACCCATCCGACCCTCTCCCACACATTCAACTATCCACCCACCCATCCATCTCTCCATCTACCTCACTCATCCATACATCTGTCCATCCAACCACCCACCCATCTATTTTATCCACTCATTTCCATGTTAATTTACCTACAAATGTATTATTCACTCAGTTATCCCCATAGCCACCTACCACTGTCCATTCACACATCCATCTCTTCACCCAGCCACCCTCCCATACGTATGTAGACTTAGCCATCTACCCATCTATTTAGCTGTTCATTTCCTTATTCATTTAGCCATCCCATCCACCCAACCACCTATCAATCTGGTAGCATTCTATAAGCACCTGCTCTAGGCTAGACCCTGTGCTAAGCATTTGAGGATTCACAGACAAATTATGCAAAGGCCCAGAATCTGGAAGACCCAGTTTAGTAGATATCAGCAAAGACAAGCCAACGATGTCCTGGGCATAGTCTAGAGTCCCAGGCCTACTCTTAGCAAATTGGACCTGAGGGAGAAGAATGAGGGGTCAGAATTGCAGAGCAATCAGTTAGCACCCTGGGCTGAGAGGCAAGAGGTGAAGATTCTGGGTCCAATTCTGCTTTCCATGACCTCTGAGACCCTCTCTAGGCCCTGATTTTCACGTGCATAAAAGGGAGGGAGTCTTATCAACCTAGAGATTTCTAAGAGGTGCTATAACTCTCAGAGTGGATGATTCCACCTCTCCCAGAGCAAATGTGATGCGACATTAAGTTTATCTGTCTCTGCATATGCCTTCTCCATGGAACTGTGTGCTCCCTCTGTCCCCAGAGACTAGAAGGGGGCTGGGAACACATCATGTGTTCCTCTTTTTTTTTTTTAAACAAATGGTGGAGTGAATGGATGGATGGAGACTGGCATGGCAGGTGGGGTTTTGGAGAACAAATGTCTGGAACTCAGCTCAGCCTGGGTGTTGTAGGTGGAAAGGGTTCAGATGAGGCTGAGCCAAGGAGGAGAGGCGAGAGCTCACCTTTATGGCAGGAACACCACTCAGCCAAAGCAAGCAGGGTGGGTCAGGCCCTGCTCCCTTCCTCACCCTCCTTGAGCCCTGACACTTGTGCCCCCACCACTTACCTCCAGTTCTTGGTGTGTGGGGGCCCTTCTTCCAGGCGTAACAGGGCATAGCGAGCAGCGCTGAGAGACAGGCCTCGGATCCCATCACCCCACTCCTTCTCTGCCCTGGGGGCCAGGAAGGAGGATCACAGAAAGCCAAGGAGTGTCAGGGAGAACCGTCCACAATGAAGTGGTCACCCCGGCCCAGAGCCATCTGTCTCAGGCTCAGACAGGAGGTGCACATTTCTCAAAGCTTCAGCCCCTCCCTCTCCTCCTGCTCCGCATCTCCCAAACCCTCCCCATCATCCTTTCCCCTCCATACTAGCCCCATCCTCTCCCACTTCCTACCTCGTCCCCACCCCCACCCTCCAAGCACCCATCACCCCTTTCCCCTCCTCACCCCCTCCCATCCCTCAGCCTCTCGCAGCCGTCGCCACTTCCTGCACTTACCCACGGTACTCGATATACTTGTAGATGAGCCCAGCAATGAGCATGGCCACCAGGGCGTAATACCAGGAGCAGATGAACATGAGGGCCAGGCAGAGGCTCATACCCAGGAAGGAGAGTGTCCTGGACAGTGGGAGGGAGACCCAGGCTCTAAGCCCTGGCAGGGCTGTCACTGGTGCGGGGGCTCTGGCAGCAAGAGTTGTATAGAGCAGGTCCTGGGCAAGACTTGGGAGGCTATGGCCAGGTCTAGGGGAACCCACACCATCATCTCCATGAGCACCAGGGGACATGGGACCTTCTGGATGAATGAGCAGCCGCAGACAGGGCACCACCTCCTGCCCCACCCAACCCCTAAGTCACCCTCTGCCCTGTCTCAGTGCCTTAGACCCTGCCAGACTGCCCTGCCAGATGAGTTCTGAGACAGGGGTCTCTAAGAAGAGCTGCAGGCAAGATCTCGCAGGAAGAATATGCCCCTAGGAAGAGGCGACTGGCATAGCAGGAGCACTGAGATGGGAGGCAGCTGCCTGGGTTCTGGTCCACATATGCCATGGTCTTGCTGGGTGGCCTTGGGCCAGTCCTTTCCCTACTGGAGACATTTGGTAGAACAAGCATGATCACTCCTGCCCTGTCTGCTCCACAGGCTTGTTGTCAGGATAAAGAGCCATCAAGTAAAATGACCGGACTCCCAGCCCCACATAAGGAGCATCTTCCCTGCACCAAGCGTTGTAATGCTCACAAGGGCTGAGGAGGTAGCTGCAGTTATCGTTCCATTTCACAGCTGAGGAAACTGAGGTTTTCTCATTTAGATTGTAAGATGATGAACACTATGGACAGGAGAGGGATTGTAGCTGAGATTGTTGATACTGTGTTAGGTTATTACTTGTAATTATAAGGAGACCTTCTCCAAGACTTTTCTCATGCTAGTTGGGCTAGCAAAGCTGGAATTTGGGGTCCTTAGACGTGGAGAGGATGGGCTGGGATGAGGTAGAGATGAGAGGATGGTCTTGTGGGGCAGGGAGGGGGAACGAGCACCCACCAGTGGTAATATCGAAAGCGTGGCCGCCAGTTGGGTGTCCTCAGCAGCGTCTGTACCGCACAAGCCAGGTTCACGAACATGTAGCACATCAGGAAGAACCTAGAACACAGAGAGGCCCCAGGAGAGACAGAGATGCAAGGGAAGGCAGAAACAGAAACAGGGAGAGAAAGGGGAAAAGGGAGAAAGAAACTGGGGAGGTGGCCAAATCACGTTCTGGTGCTTAGAAAGGGGTTCAAAGGCCAAATCCCCTTACAACACACCCTGATGCTTGTGGGGCTGAATCTCTGTATAACAAGGACAGGTTTCTATGACAGTGGGGTCGTTAAAGTGTTTGGGTGGTCTGTCCAGGGTCACAGCTGGAGAATCCATGTAGAGAGACCCCCAGAGCTGATGGGGAGGGCCAGAGGCCAGCACGCACATAGAGAGGATGGGGGCGACCTCGTCAAGGGATGCAATAAGGATGCCGATCTCGCAGATGCAGGCGGTGAGGAGCAAGGCCCACGTTGGCTCTCCGTTGGCTTTGCCGTGGCCAAAAACCTGAGGACAGAGCAACCATCATGGGGGCCTGAGACTTTGAGGACTTCTTGTCTCCTTCCTCCATTCTTGGGGACCCATACAGTAGAGGCAGTAATCCCCTAGTCAGTGAGGCGGTAGGCAGAGGATGCTGAATTTCTTATCTTTTAAAGGTACCCAAGGGGATACCAGGCTTTTGCAGTACCTTGCCCACTCTGACATTGGTACCCAGTGCAATGAAGTTCAAATGACCCCTGAAGGGGAGAAGGATGGGGACAGATGGGAGAGGAGCTCCAGGGGCCAGCAAATGGCCAGGACTGAGTGCACCACAGAGAGAGCCACCCTTCTCTTGCTTGACTTTTGGCTGCCTCCATGAGTCCCTACCCAATCACCAGGCCAAAGGAGGGCCATTTATTTTTCCCCTAAAAGCAGATAATGCTGCCCAAAGAGATGGCACTGATGATGGATCAAACCCCCAAAAAAGGCACACCCACTCTTCTGAGTGGTTGCACAGAGTGGCAGGGCTCCAGAAGGCAGTGCAAGGCTCACCCTGGCCCTGATTCACTGTGTGGCCTCGCTGAGCAGAGGCCTGTTGTCCCTAAGCCCTGCTGTCCCTAAGCCCTGCCCCCAACTGACCTGCAGGAAGGGCACTATGCCATCGCGGGAGATGGCCTGCAGCAGGCGTGGGGCCCCTGTGAGGCTCTGCAGTCCAGCCCCACAGGTGGAAAAGAAGGATCCTATGACAATAACCCAGGGAGACGGCCAGGCCAGAGTGCCCACCACCAGGTTGCCATTCACAGCTTCGCCAAACCTGGAATAAAGCAGCAAAGGGACAGGAGATGCTGGGTGAGCGACGCCACCTGGATTTTCAAGGCAGGTCTCCCACGCCACCTTCAGGAACAACCATATGTCCACCATGGGGCTATTCTATGCAGGGGCTAAGGGACAGACAAAGCCTCTAATGTCGTAGGCACTTTCTATCTGTGTGACCTTGGGCAAGTCATCCAACCTCTCTGTGTCTCAGTTTCTTCAGCTGTAAAATGAGGATCATTTAAAACCTATCTCATGGTGATAGGTTTTGGTGAGAGGATGAAGAGATAACATATGTAAAAGCTTAGCACACTGCCTGGAACATGGTACAAATAGTGATTCTTTTTTTTTAATGGAGGTATAGTTAATGTACAATATTATGTAAGTTTCAGGTGCACAACATAGTGATTCACAATTCTTAAAGGTTATACTCCATTTATAAAATATTTGCTATATTTCCTACGCTGAACAATATATCCTTGTAGCTTATGTATTATATACATTCCTCTGAGTCCCCTACTCGTCTTGACCTCCCCCAGTAGTGATTCTAGGAAACGTTCAAATGTGTACTATTATGTCATCCCAGACATATCTCTTAAACTGTTAGAACCTCAGTGTCTCCATCTGAAAAGTGGGTGTTCTGGCCTCATCGTGTGGTAATGATATGTGAGAATCAAGAAAAGCATTTTCTAACAATGACACTGTCTTGAAAGGGAAGATGCTGCCTCAGTAGGCAGAGAGAGCCCTGTCCCTGGACTGGGCAAGCAGAGGTGTGTTCAAATGGGCCATTGCTTCAGGACTTTAAGAATCAGAGGAAAGGTTCTACTGGATGACCTGCTGAATCCCTTGCAGTCTTGTAGGAGGTCTTGGATTAAACGAAATGGGATAAACAGAGGTTAAGTTGCCCTAAAAGCTAAAAAGGTGTAATATATGTAAATTGTTCATTTGACCAGGTCACCTCCCTGCTTAAAACCCTTCAAGGATTCCCCCATTTTTTAAAATAAAATACAGCTCAAATTTCCTGGTGACAAAACCCAGGCCTCCAGGACCCACTTCAGCCTAGGTCTCCGCCTTATGTCCCCACCTCCCAGAAGCCAGGGTGGTGCTATGGAAACTGACTTCTGTGACAGGACCTCGTATTTCACCCTGCTGGCTGTGTATGCACACGCCCTCCAGAGTGTGTGCTCCGGAAGCTCTGAACTGCTTATAGCTATAGGCACCCGTATGTGTGCACGTGCGCACACGTGCACACACACACACACACACACGCACACACACAGCTCTTTCCCTCCTCCACCTTTGTTCATGCTGTTCCCACTGCCTGGAATGCCTTGCTCCCTGCTAGTCACCTCAGTAACCTCTACTCAAAGTTTAAAGGGGGAGGGAAAGATGAGAAAATGTATATAAGGTACTTTGAGCAGCACCTCCTCTTCCCTGACCCTCTGAGTTCTGGATCACAGCCTCCTGTGCACCTCCATAGCCCTGGGGCTTCCTTTATCACCACCCCTACTGCTGTGTATTTCAAGTCTGCTGACAAGCATGGTTACCATCCCCAAAGAGCTCCTTTGGAACAAAAATCATGTGTTATTTATCTTTATTCCCCCAGAACCCTGGACAGTGGCCAACACATAGACATCCAGGCAATAGTAAATGAATTAGTAGATACTAAAGTAAAAGAAAAGGGAAGTGTCATTATCCTAAAAGAAATAAGACAGCATTCATGCTTTTTGAGCTAGAATGACATGAGAAAGAGGAATTATAATTCAAGAAAGTGAGTGGACAAGCAATCCCTGGGACCTCCCTTTAAAAGCTCCCTTGCACAAGTTTCAGCACCCCTGCCAGGCCTTTCTCCCAGAACTTGGCCCTCCATGCTCACCTCACCCTTCCCAGAACAGGATCATCCCTGATCCCCTTACTTACTTGTCCCGAAGGACGACCCCCTCAATGCAGGCCCCAAACAGAACAACGGAGCTGATGTCTGCAGCAGAGGATGAAGGAGAATTCCCAGGGTGATGTTCCCCTTCCTTCCCACCCATCCTGAGCCAGCAGATGAGGCAGCAGCTTCAGCTGCCTTCTGTCTAGCCCTCCCCGCCCACCATGGTCCCAGCCCAGCAGTGCAGGATACAGACAGCGGAGGTGGTGGCAATGGCCAGGATGGTGCCAGTAGGAATTGACTTCTGGGCATCCCGCAGGTCCCCAGAGCGGTTGGAACCAGCCATGATCCCTGTGAACAGAGGAGCAGCTAGGACAGGAGCCACAGGAGACCAGACAAAGAAGAAAGGACACTAGCCTCAGAGTCAGGGAGCCAGGGATCTAGTCCTGGTACACTGACTCGTGTGAGAACCTGGGCAGGTTACTTGGCTTCTGCAGGCCTTAATTCCCTCAGCTGTCCAATGGGAATGAAATCATTAGCTCCTGCCTATGTAATAGGGCTGTTGGACCAAGAAATTCCCCACATCATGACTGGCTTTCTCCTACCCATCCACTCCCAGGCAGAGTCCTCCCTCTCTGAGCTCCCTTTCACCTGTGACTGAGGGGAAGTAGATGCCAACCAGCAGGGTGAAGTAGGAGGTCATATCACTGAAGACATAGGGATGGTCCATGTCGACAGGGGTACCATCTGCCAGGCCTACCGAGGGCATCCCACGCCTCTCCACAATAACTCCCTTGGTCAGGTAGGAGCTCCAGAGGTTCTCTGTGGGGGAGACAGGGTGAGACAGGATGCTCAGGGGGAAGACCAGACGTCACGATCCCAAAGCTCTGGGGCCAGGAGGTGGGGTGGGCAAAAAGAAAGTTCAAGATCAACCACCTCTCACTCCCCTGGGCCTTGGCTCCATTTTATATCCACCAACATTCCTAAGCTCCTGCTTTGGGCCAGGTCATGAGCAGGGGCTTTGCATCTGAATCAGATCTAGTCCTTGCTCTCAAATAATCCAGTCTACTAGGGTACATAGACATCCAAAGACCTATCTCAGACTGATTCAGTATGTCCCAAACTGATCTCACCACCCACTCACCACAAACCAGCTCCTTTCCTGTACCTCTTATCTCGGTAAATGGCACTACCATTGACTCAGACAGCTTGACATTGCCCTCAACTTCTCCCTTTCCTCATCTTCCTTTCAAAACCATCTCCATCTCCTGTCCATTATTCCTCCCAAATATTTCTCAAATATGCCTCTTCTCTCCTTTCTAGGGTTCCTCCACTTCCATACTATTGACATTTAGTAATAATTGTCATGAGAACAGATAATTCCTTGTATGGGGTGCTGTCCTATAACATTGTAGGATGTGTAGCAATATCCTGGCCTCTACACACCATATGCTAGTAGTAACCCTCCAGTTGTGACAACCAAAAATGTCTCTAGACATTGCCACATGTCTCTTGTGGGGGAGGGGGTGGCAAAACAGTCCTGATGGAGAACCACTGCACCATTTCCACTGCCATCACTCCATCACTATAGGTCAGAAGACCGTCATCCCTCACCTGGACTCAACATCAGCCTCCTTCAAGACCCCCTGACTCTGTTCTTTCCCCTACTTTTAGCTTATCCACATTAGCAGCCAGAGTGAACCTTCAGAAACAACAAGCTGTCCTCGTCTATCCCTTACTCAAAACCCTTTGGTGGCGTTATTGCCCTCAGAACACAGTCCAAACTCTTCAACATGGCTTCCAAGGCTCACCACAGTCACTCATGCCAGCCTCTCCAATATCATTTCTTGCCCCTCCTTCCTTTGCACTTTATGCCCCAGTCATACCAAATTACTTGTGGTTGGAAGGACACAATATGCTCTTCTGTGTCTGCATGCTTTTAGGCAAGCTGTTCTTCTGCATGTAATTCCCTTATTCCCCTTGTATAACTGAAATCTCTTATTTGTCCTTCAAAACCCTTCTCAGATGAATCCAAGAAGCCTTGTCTCACCACCTTATACACATAACCACGTCCTCCCTTGGGAGGTCTCTGTTCATTGAATGCACATCTACACATGTCATAATTTATTTGCTATTACATTTGTCTCGGCTATTAAATTCCTTGAGGCCAAGAACTGTGACTTACTTACGTTGTGTTCCTGGTGCTCAGCACAGTGCTAGGAATTTAGCAGGTGCTTAGTGAATCCTTGTCAAACTGATGACTTTCTTTCCCACTAGGTGGTAAGATGCTCAAATGCTCCCTTTCATCTCTAACCCTCCATTATCTCAAGGACAGAACATGGCCCAGAGTAGGTGCTCAGTTAAAACTGATCAAATTTAACTGAATCCCAAGTTGAGTCCCTTAATCCTAACTGTTTAACCCAGAATCCCTGCAGTGCTCCCTGGACACCAGACCTCTTCCCTCCCTCAGACCTTTGATGAGGCCACTAGCAGCGCCAGGAATGCCCTGGATCTCTGTGACATTGTTTCGGGTGAAGTACTCATCACAGGTGGCGTTGAGGAATCGGGAGGAGCAGAAAAGGCCCCAGAGCCGTGTGGTCACTGTCTCATTTCCTTCCCAAGCCAGCTTGGCACAGACATCAAAGCCATGACGAGACAGTGTGCGATTCCCCAGGAGGCATATCCTGGGGAGAGAAACAAGGGAGGAAGTTGGGGGGGATGTAACTTTGTCCTGGCTTCAGTAGAACCACCAGGGGAGTGCGAAGAAACACAGATGCCAGGGCCCCATATCCAGAGATTCTAATTTAACTGGGATGGAGTGCAGAATTGGCATTTTTTTTTCAAACTCCCCCAAGTGATTCTAATATGCAGCCACAGCGGCAAACCATTTTAGTGCAGTGCTATGTTTCAGCACTGTGGACAGCAGTCTCCACGTGCCATTCTTCTGGGCAATAAGATGTAGAGCAATCTGTCCTAGGGAAAGAGGCAGAACCAACAGGGATCTGAGCCCCTGGACTCTCTCTTCAGTGTCCTTTCTCATGACAGAGAGGTGTTTAATGCTGAGAAGTTGTCCCATCCACAAGGTAGTCCCCACCCAGGAACGGTTTAACTAATACGAAGTTTTTGTCCCTTCAGAAATCATTCCATTTGGCTCTTCCGAAGTCCATCCAACCAGCATGCAATTGACTTTCACAAGGGAAACTCTGCCTACCTCCAGCAATGTTATCCCACCCTAAAGAAATTGCCCCTAAACCGGGAGAGATTTCCCCTCACAAAGGAAGTTACTCTGCATCTACAGTCACTCCAATTCTGAGAGATGGGGACAGGGGTGTTGGCAGAGACTAGCATGAAGCCCCTGAAACCAGGCCAGGGAGGAGGAGGAGGATGCCTTAGGCTCAGAGCAGCAGCACTTACGGGAAGTTGGGTGGGTCGAAGGCAGATTTGATGACCCCAGCATAGATGGCCAGGATAGAGAGGATGACACATCCCAGGAAGACAAGGGCAAACTTGTTGACATACTTGACTCCCACAAATACCACAGTGGCCATGCAGGTGAGCACACAGGTGCCATACACACGCATATTGTTCAACATGGCTGCTGCCTCCCCGCTGGCATCTTCTGCCTTAAAAATGGCCATAGCTGGGAAGAGGTAAGCCTGTGGGAAAGGGGTGAGGCAATCAGGTGAGTAACCCAGTGAGAACCAACCAAGAATCACCCCAAGGAAATACCCTGAAGTGCAGGCAGGGCTTTGGGAAAAATATACTCATCACACCATATTGACAGTAGTGCAAGACTAGAAGTAACATCCAATGATAGTTGGAACAGTTGAGGAAATCATGGTTTATCCTGCAATGACTGCTATACAGTCATTAAAAGATGATATAGCAAAGATATTGGGAGCAATTCTTAATTTCTTTGCTTTTTGTTATCAAATATAATTCTTAATGATTATTTGTTGTTTTTGTTATTTCAATTAGAAGGGCGGGAATAAATTAGACATGTTTGTACTCTTACAAAAGTTATTTTCACTTGTAAGTTATATTTGCGAAGAGAGTTAGTTAGGGAAACCTATTAAGTTATATTTTATAAAGACAGAATATAATATCATGTCGGAAAAGAAAAACTAAAAGGATACACCAAACCGTTAATAATGAATTTCTTCAGGTGACTATTATTTCCTTTTTTACATTCTTTGATATTTTTCCAATTTTATGCAGGGGGAAGAATTGCTTTTATAACTTTTTTAATTTTGTAAAAGTCACAAAGGCCTATTATTATTCTCTCATAATTTGGCTCCTCAGATCCTTTATTCCCCATCCATCCTCCCTGTCCCTGGATGACTCCATTCTGTCCCCAGACCAGAAGCTAAGACATCTTTTAGTTCTAGTTCTCTGAAGCAGTGTGGTAAGGTAGACAAGCACTGGCTTTGGGGTCAGAAAGACACAGGTTCATATCCCTTCCACACATTTCTTAAACTCTCTGAGCTTTGCTTTCCTTATCTGTAAAATGGGGACATCTTCTAATTCATGGGAGAGTCATGAGGATAAAATAAAATGACACATTGCAGGTCATGGGGTCTGGATAGAGTAGGGGCTTGGGAAATGTCAGCTCCACTGTCTATATACCGAGGAACCCTCTTCAGCTCCCACCCTCTCCTTCAGGGGCAGGAAGAACCCAGACCAAAGTCAGCAGCCATCTCCTTCAAACACTGCCCAGGAACCTGACTTCTCAACTGTCCCCACTCTTAACAGATCTCTTTCTCGGCTCTCTTGTTCTTTGCAATCACTAACCATCAGCCCTCTACAATTAACATTCGTGGAGGGCTGAGAACTGTTCTGGGTACATAGTAGGCAATCACTGTGGGACCTTACTATTTTTATTCTACCATGATTTTACTCTTCTCAACCCACTTCTGCCACTTGGTAGCCAAGTGACCTTGAGCAAGTCATTTCACCTCGCTGAGCTTCTCATTTGTAAAATGGGGATAATAATACTTAAACCTCATGAGAATTCAAGCTAATGACTGTAAAGCACTCGGAACTCTGCTGAGAGCACAGTGGGTTCCTGATAAACGACAGCTGTTCGTGTTACATAATTAGCGTATCTTGTCTCCCCAACTAGACTGTGAACTCTTTAAAGACAGAACCCCTTCCTGAGTGGCCTAGCCTATAGGAGGTGTCCAGGGAGCATCGATTAACTGACTGACAGCCTGGGACCCACACCTCCTCTTCGGCCCCTCTCACCAGTAGGATTTCGATGGTGCCCAGGATGTACATGGCCCCAGCAAACGTAGTGCCCAGGTAGAAGCAGAGGCCCACGGCACCCCCAAACTCTGGACCCAGAGACCTGGAAATCATGTAGTAGGAGCCGCCAGCTGCAGAAAGAACCCAGTATCAGCAAGAGGTTCAAGGGGCACCGGGCTGCCATAGAGGGTGAGGGGGGCATCAGAGACAGTGGTGAGAAGGGGATTGCTCTGAGTCTCACAAGCCTTACAGGCCGTAGCCCTAGGACTGGTGGGAGACCCAGCCAGACACTCTGAGTGGATTTTACAGCACTAATTACCATGTTGCTAATTACCCCTCTAAGGAGGTCATGGCTCAGAAAATAGGATGATGGAGAGGAGGGTCATCAGGCAAAGGGAGGAGATCTTGCATTGCCCTTTACAATACCATCAACAGCCTCCCTCTCCTCCCCCTAATGGGCTGCCCCCACCTACCCCATGAACATTGTAGCCCAGCCTCTAGGTCTACAATATTGCCTCCCTGAGGTCCTGATGGCTGCCAGAGCCCAGGGCACTGTCCCTCCTTCCAACTTTTCAGACCTCCCTCCCAACCATTCAGGCCCCTTTCCCCTCTAAAAAGCCCCAGTCACATACCAGGCACAACACCATTGGTTGCAATTGCACTCATGGAAATGGCCGTGAGCATCGTCTGTGAGAAGAGAGATCATCAGAGTGGTAGCCGGAGGGGAGGGGAGCCAAACCTTATACCCTACAAACACCCGCCAAACCCACAAGTCCTCTTCCACTGAGCTTCTCCCTGGTCCTGTTCCAACTTTTACTCCTGCCAAGTCCTTCTTGTCAAGAAAACCTCTTATTCACCATGCACATGGAAGAAACACAAGCTGTAGCATCAGAGAGCTCTGGAAACCCCCGCTTGGCCTCTGACCAGCTGTCTAGCCAGAGACAAGTCACTTCATTTCTCTAAGCCTCAGTTTCTTCATGTATTAAATAGGTGTACTAGCTTCCACACTGGCTACCTTATATGAGCAGGTGGAGCAAGGGTCACGTGTGAGGAAATATAAATGTCACAAGAAGTAGGTGTTCAGTGAACATTTGATTTTTCAGAGAGGATGGGGATAATTCAGTTACAATGCCGTTTGTGACACATAATCCCATTTTTTGTGAGTCTGGACCTACCAAATTGCTACCTATTATACGTGAGTTTTATTTCTATACATCTTTTTCATCAATGAGTCTTCATTACCTGTGTAATCACACCCACGCACATGTGCACAAGACACACACAAACACACAAACACAGATCCAGGTAAACCTGGTTAATAGCCATCAGGGACCAGCCTGTGAGATGCTGGAAGACCCAGTCAGACCTAATTTACTCTCAAATATTATATGCAGTGGTTCCTATAAAAAGCTCTGGTCTCATGCTTCTCCCGCTCCCCTTTCCCACCCCCAGGTCCCTGCTCAGCCCCAGCTGTCAGAGAATGGGAGAAAGGAGGGTGTCACTCACACAGGAGCAGCAGATGAAGACCATGCAGAAGGACTCCATGATGCCTGCGATGCCCACTACCCAAGTGAGTCGCAGGAAGAGGATGACACCAAAGATGTTCTGCAGACACGGTAGGTACACGCCCATGAAGGTACCCATACGGGGGGCCTGCCGGAGAGGCCAGTGTTAGTTTCTGCAGCCCCTAATCACTACCAACACCCCATGCCCACTCCTCCTCCTCTATTCCTCCACCCACCACTTTCCTTTTCCCTCCATCCCCATCCCTTCATCCCTTTTCCCTCTGATCCTCATCCCCCTTCCCTCCTCCCCTCCTGCTCCTGTCTCCCGTCAGGTCTCCAACACCTATCCTTCAAACCACTACCCCTCCCCTGCATCTCTATCCCTCATCTCCAATCCCTTCCCCTCCCTTCACCTCCAACTTCTGTCCCTCTGCCTCCATCATCCATCCTTTCATCTGAGTCCATCTTTCCTCCCCCACACTTTCTCCCCTCTAGCCCACTTTCCTCCCTCATCCCTTCTTCCCCAAGGCCCTCACCTGTACCGGCTTCTTTTTTCCACCCTCATTGTTTTCTGCCTCTTCATGCTCCCTACTTCCCTGGGGCAGGTTGGTGTAGTTGGCCAGGCCACTAAGCAGGGAGGATACCATGGGACTGGTGTCCATCTCCTCCTGTGGAGGGAGGTTGTCAGTGTTAGGGCGCTAGCATCTAGAAGGGGTGGGATGGGCTAGAAGGTAGGAGGCAGAGAGAGATGGGGACCAGGAGGGCAGACCACTGAGGCTGGGATGAGATAGGGAAGGAGAAGGAATAGGCAAGGAGAACAGAGAAAGAGGGTGGTAGGATAAGGAGGGGGGAAGGAGAAGAAGGGATGGGGAGGTTCAGAAAGAAGGTGGACCTGAGGGAGGGATGGAGAGGAGGGACCTATTCCCCATGGAAGGAGGGAGGGTGCAGCTGACGAATGGGGAGATGAACTGTGGTGGAGTCCCAACACCTCCAGCAACCCACCTCAAACAGGGCCATGTTTTTGCCATCATACTCCTTTCCCTTCTCTGTGTCAGTGCTGTTGATGAAGGGGCTGCTCTCCTTGGGGTTTCCATCACCTGAGAAGGTAGAGGAGTCAGGGGTCTGGCACCAACTGGTTGTCCTCCATCTGCCTGAGCTTCCAGCTGTGTGGCCACTTTTGCTCTCTAAACCTCAGTCTGCACATTGGGAAACTGGAGCTAATACTACGGCCCTGGCAGAATTTTAGTTGACAAAGTGTATAAAGAGCCTAGTGCACTTCCTGGCACATACCGGGTATTTAATGGATGTGGAAGTGCTTCCTTGCTCTTGAGGGTCCTATTCACCATGGCACCCTAGATTCTCCAGGGCCTCCTCCTTGACCATAACTGGCCCTTCTTGGTGTTTGAGGGTGGAAGCATGCTCTTCCCTAAGGGGAAAGGCAGAGAACACTGCAGTCCGAGGCCCCAAGGATACTCCACCTCTTAGAAAAGTGACCCCTTTGGCATCTCCTATGTCCTATGTCCCTTGTTCATCTTCCATCAACATGTATTTGCTACTATGTGCCAATATGGGCATGGGGGTGGGAAAAAGAGTAAAACACAGAATAAGACACCATCCCTGTCCTTGGGAAACCCAAGGGCAGGGGAGATAAAGCAGTAACCAGGAATTTCCTACCCAGAGTGGTGGGTTCTGTGATAGAAGATGAACGAAGGACTGTGGGAACACAGGTGAGGCATTCAGCCCAGCCCGGGAGGTCACAGAAGGCTTCTCAGAGGAAGTGACGTATCAGCTGAGAACTGAAGGATGAGTAAGAGCTAGACTGGGGGGCAGGGTAGGCAGGAGGGTGTTCCAGGCAGCTAGATGATCAGAACAGCATGTTCGATAGCCCAGAGGTGAGAGTGAATGGATTGGGTTAGAGGAGCTGAAAGAAGTTTGATCTGGCAGGAGTCTAAGGAAGGGGCATGGAGGGGAGGAACACTGGAGGATGGGGAGTGGCACGTGAAAAAATGAGACTGAGAATGCTAGTGTGAGCTGGGTCCTTAAACAACTAAAAGGCCTTGTGAAAGATGTTGGACATCATTCAGAGGACAGCGGGAAGTCATTGAAGAGTTTCAGGCCCCAAAAAAGTACCACGAACAGAATTGGGTCTTAGAGCAATCACTCTGGCCTTTAGATGAAGACTATAGAAGCTGGTTAGGAACTTCCAGTAATCTGAGCAAGGGCTGATGATAACCCAGACCAAGGCCATGGCGAACAAGGAACAGACTCCAGAGTTATTGGCACATATTTCTATGCCAGATATTTGGGGGTGTGGGAAGGAGGAATCTAGGATAATTCCTGGGTTTCTAGCATGGGTGAATGAGTGGATGATGGTGCTATTTAATAAATGGGGGAAAGGAGGAGACAGGGTATGTGGAAGATGCTGAATTTGATTGGGTGTGAGGCAGTGTAGGACACTCAGGTGAATATGCCAGAAGCACTTGTATATATGGATCAGTCTGGGCCCAGGAGATAGGCTGAGTAGGAGAAAGAGATGAGGGTAACCCATGAAAAGTTGTGCAGGATGTGTGTGAAACAGTGGGCCTGGATGAGATCACCCAAGAAGAAAGTCTCTTGGGCATCAAGAAGAGGGTCCTTTCAAAGAGATGTAAGGGATCTCCCACAGGCACATTGCCCTACTTCCAGCCATCGCACTTCTTCAGTTTCAGGGCTGAATCACAGTAGTAGACATCTCTTTGAACCCTGGAGAAAGTCTCCAATGACCAAAGTACAAGTGAAGTTGAGGCCCTACATATTCTGAATTTCCTGTCCCCTCATCTCCTGATAGCTCTGTCTCTCCATCATCTCCATCTGCCCAAACCCTCCCCATCCTCCCCTCCAGGAAACCCATCCAGAGTCCATCCCCAGGGCATTACCTGCTATAAATCTAATCTCATCCAAATTGTAGGTGGAGGAATTGGTGCCTCACATACTCAAGGGATCACTGTCTCCTGTCACCACCTCCACCTCACCCTTCAAGCCAGGAACTCCTGGTTCCCCAAACAGGGGCCATCACCAGCTCTTTTTTTCTCCTCACGTATGTGACTTCCTGGGACCAGCAGATCTGTCCTCCCAGTGGGATACTGGCATATAATGGGTGCTCAGGAAAAGTCTGTGGAGGTAATTTCCCCCAGGCTCCCTTCCTGACCCGCAGGGTCTCAGAAGAGCTGTTTGGGGCCAGAGAACAGAAGAAACAAAATTGAGGTGGGTTCCTCCTCTTTTTAAAATGCTGACAAGATGCCTCATGCTCTCATCACACTGTACTGGAAACTAGAGGGGTTGAAAAAGGATGAGATGAGAAGAAATTTCTTAATGGTTAAGAAAACGGGCTGGAGTCAAGGAGATTCAGGTTCCAGTCTCAGCTTCCTTGGCTGTGTTGACACTTTGGGCAAGTCACGTAAACTAAGCCTCAGTTTCCTATTTAGCAAAAGGATAATAATCGTGTTTAATTCGTAGGGCTGTTGTGGGAATTAAGTAAAATGGTATCTGTTGGGCATGCCTAGCACAAGAAGTGTAGCTGTTACTGTTACTATTACAATTACGATTATTATTAATATACTATCGTGCCCCACCCAACCTGGGCTCCCCATCCCACATCCCTCCCCCAGCAGCAAGATTTAGGGGCCCTGTCTCCTGCCGGGCTGGGTCCCTCTGCCCCGCAGTATCCACTCATAGGGGCAGGACAGCAAGACCCAAAACCTCCCTCCCTTCCTCCTTCGTGGAGGCGCAGAGTGCATGTTGTGTGGGAAGGGGGGCGTCCTGGCCAGAGACCCGGCATCTAGCAGCCCCGCGCCAGTCTCCATGGCGACCGCGCGGGCAGAGAGCGCAGCGCGGAGCAGAGCCGGCCACGCGCCCGCAGTTGCTTATGTAACGCGGCGCGCAGCTCGGAGCTAGACTCTGGGCCGGATCCCAGCCAGGAGATGAGGGCAGGGGAGAGGGCAGCTCAGTAGGCTTGTCTTGGGTCCCGCCTTTCCACCCGTTGTCTAGATGGGACGCCAGGCTCCCGGCCTCGTCTGCCAGGGCTGATTTCGGCCCCTCCCTGGAACACCGGTTGAGGGGGAGGGATGAGCTTCGTGAATTCTCAGAGGAGCAGGACCGCGAAGCGGGATCTCGCCCTGATTCCCCAGAGCCAAGAGTCAGGATGATGGGAGAGCGCAGCGCTGTGCGCGCGAGAGAAGCAGGGCCAGACTGAGGCTGAGCCCTCTCCGCCCCCGCCCCCGCCCCCTGGGAGCTCTCAGCCCGAATCGGCTTTCAATTAAGCTGCGGCGGCCAGAGCTCCTGGGGAGGAAACAGGCGAGTGGTGCGGGCTAAGGAGCCTCCCCTGGGGGCCTGGGGCCAGGCCTGGGGGAATCCCCAAGCCAGACTAGGGGAGTAGGGGAGGGCGTCAGACCCCAAGAGGGAAGGAGACCTGGGAGTCAGAGACAATATCCTTGTGTTCTTTAGTCCAGAGGAGCCCTCTTACTCTGGTCATTCCCACCTCTCCGAGGTCAGCACCCAGGTTCTCTTCTACATTTCCAAGAACCAGAGATGCCAGTGGCTCTCGGTCTGATGATCCTGCTTCCCTCAAGTCCAGTAGGTCCTTAGGACCCACCACCACCACCATTTCCAGGCACCACTGGAAGGCCTTCTTTCTCTCTCTGGAACTCAAATCACCTGACCCAGGTCCTGGCCACTCTGGTTCCAGGTCCTGAATCCTTATATATAGAGAGAAAGTCTCCAGATAGGTCTGCGACAGAGTCTAGAAACTAACGGAGAAGGGGTAGAACTGAAGGGGTTCCTAGTTTGACTCCTGCTCCACACACATAGATGCCTCTTTTCTAGGCCTCCTGAGACCCCATGGAAACCCTGTGGCCCAGCAAGTCGTCATTATCAGAGGAGAGAAAGCAAGGCTTGGGAGATTGGACTGTACCCCATGTCTGGGGGAGCAAAGCCCTCTCCTCAGAGTGGAGACAACTCAAAGGGATCCCAGGTGGAATTTATCCACCTTCATTCCCTGAGCATCACGTTGGGATGCCTGACTCTGCTGCAGACTCGACTTTGCCAAACCCCCTCCCCGCTGCAGCCTAAGCCTGCTGTAGAGGGGGGCAGCTGCGTATTGAGGTAACTCCAGGGTCACTGGGGAGATGAATGAGCTGCCAGCCAGTAGTTCCTAGTCCTGTATACCACTTAGCCTCAGGGAGGAAGAAGGGGTGTCAGACAAAGGATCCAGGACCCTGGTGTCCACAGCCTTCCCAAGCGATCACTTGGCTCTGACTTGGATCCAGGATCCCTAGGACTTCAAGTCAAGGCTTCCAGTCCCTAGAAGACCCTGCTCTTTCAGCCCTTAGTGCCTTGGGACATCCCTGGGGGAGGTCTGCAGGTGTCTCGGCCCAGAGGGTCAAGCAATGCCCAGGGGAGCATTTGAAGGCGCTGAGCGCAGGCAGCCAGAGCGGGAGGCGCGCTAGTGCGCAAGGGACGCAGCGCCGCTGGAGGGTGGGGGTTGGGGGCGGCTGACAGCCCTGATGGATGGCTGAGACCGCTGGGGGGCGGCGGGGGGCATGGGAGCCCGAGGGGGTGGCTGGCCCCAAAGACCTCGGAGCAGGGAAACCGCGGAGGAGGGCGGGGGAGAGCGGGAGCTGGGAAAGGACTTGCTCCAAGCCCCTCTGCTCCTAACGAGTCTCCGCACCCACCGCAGCGCGTCCGCAGTGTCCACGCGCGGCGCCGGGGATTCAGCCGCTGGGACCCCATTCCTGAGGCCTCACTGGGGAAGCTAGCAGAGCTGACTAGAAAGACTCCCCCCTGTCCCGCCCTGGAAACCTCACTGCTATCCCAGGGTACCCAGAGGAAGGGGAAAGAGGGAAGAAAGGAGGATGATCTTGCTTCCCGTCCTGAATAGGAACCCAAGGGAACGCGAGAGGGAGAGGGAGATTCCGCAAAGTAGAGCTGAAAAATCCCTGGAGGAGGTACGCTTCAGTCTGAGGTCGGACCTCGGGCTGCTTTGGGGGAGGGGGCCCAGATTGCACCAAGTGTCCCCTTAAGGAGACACCGCAGCCCGGACGGGGGCTGTCATCTGGCTTCA